TCTATGCCTCTAAAGGGATTTCCAATACACACTGGGAAACAGATGTTTTTGAAAAGTTCTTTAGTGAAGAAACCTGATACCAGGGAACCCTTTCTCTCTTTAACACCTTAATGCGATTCTGCTCTTTTACTGTCCTGTGAAACACACTTTGGGAAATGCTCTTCAGGTCCAACCTCTTGTCCCAAAGAAGGAATGACTCAAACTCTATAAAAAAAGGTCTTCTTTAGACATAGTTATCTGACCTTTTTTAAAAACACTGAATACATTCTTAAGGCAAAATTGTTAGTAGTAATAGGAGGACTGAGTACTTACGATGTGCTTGATTCAAAGTGTTTTGCCTCCTTTCTTCCTCAGTGTGCCACTATACCTATCCTATATCTACATCTATATCCATAACCATATCTATGTATTCACATATAATAGATACATTGATATATTTGCTTTTAGGCTGTGAACATTTTAAGATGAGGATGTTTATCTCATTCATCTCTTGAGATCTCAAATCCTGCTACAAAAATCTGTCACATAGTACGTCATTAATGAAATGAGTTATCTCTAAAGATTGTATAGTCTGTGAGGGAGAATAGTTCTGGAAAACAGGAATGACATTCTGCCCCTGATTAGAAAGGTAATTATCTCATATTCAAGTCTTCTCAATGAACACCAATTGAGGACAGAGACCTACTCCAACAGCTCTCCTCCCTGGGGATTCAAGTTTTCTTCTCTGAACTTAACTACATTACTGTTAGCATAAGTTATTTACAAAATAATCTTACATAATCTAGTAATATGCATTGAGTTTGTATTTAACTCTTGATTGCTATACAGAGTTTTTGTTCTTGTGTTTTCCAGGAAGGTAGAGCTTGTCCTTTTATATCTTGTGCCAGCTGTAGAGGCAAAATATCATATCCTCCATATTCCATTGTTAATAATTCCATTCTGCTGTTTCCTTTCCATAGTGTAACGTTTGAGCTTCTCAAATTTGTTTATTCTTTTCTTTCAGTGTTAACCAATGAAATTCCAATACTGGGTCTTGAAACTAGGTGATTTCTAGCCAGAGTTTAAATGTCTTTTTGCAAGGTAAAAAAGGGAAATGTTCCCTCTTCCTTTCAATTGCAAAAAACAGCTAATATTTTTATCATTGAACTGTCTTTGCAAATGTTATACATAAGAAAGGATATGATATCTGAATGTCAGAGACTATTGTAATGTTCTGAAAAATGTAATTTCTAAGAAGACTGTAATTCTGATTGTTGTCTTCTTTTCTTTCCTGGTTCTGGCAGTAATATTTAAATGGATACATCTCCTTTTGAAAACAGAAATAGTTATGAATTTTCTTTGTTGAGCCATAAGATTATTAGCTCATCCCTTTTTCTACCACATGCCTAAAGTTAAAACAAATAAAACCTACGGTTTCATGCATTTTTCATTTAAACGGAGCCTAATGTCATCTCTCTGACTCCGTTTCTTTACCTGTAAAATGAACATAATAAGGAGGTGACTGGCTGGCACAGTTGGTAGAGCCTGTGACACTTGATCTCAGAGTTGTGAATTCAAGCCCCATGTTGGGCATAGAGCGTACTTAAAAAATGAACATAACAAGGCATTGGGTGGTTATAAGGGTAAACTTGTTATAATAGTGATTGACTCAAAAGTAACATGGAAATCTTAGCTCTTTATAGTTCTGTGTGCTCCCAGGGTGCCTGGGTGGCTCAGTGGGTTAAGCATCTGACTTCAGCTCAGGTCATGATCTCATAGCTCATGAGTTCAAGCCCTGCATCAGGCTCTGTGTTGACACCTCTGAGCCTGGAGCCTGCTTTGGATTCTGTGTTTCCCTCTCTCTGTGCTCCTGCCCTGTTCACACTCTGTCTCTCAAAAAGTGAATAAACATTAAAAAAAAATTTTATAGTTCTGTGTGCTCCTGAGTGCGTGCGCACACAGAGCAGTGCTGAATGAGACAAGAAGGTGTTGAATGAGATCACTGACAGGTTTTGATCTCATTTGAAGAGAGATTGTGCTATGAGGAGAAAGAACACTGATTTGGGGTCAGGAGACTTGATTATGAGTCCAACATCATAGTCAGTAGCTATGGAGATTTGGACAAATCATTCAGCCTTTCTAAATCGCTTTTTCCTGATGTAGAAAGTGAGAGAAATAATAACTTATAGTGACATGTAGAATTGCTTTGAAGACCCCTAGAATTAATGCATGTGAGAGTGCTTTGTGTTGGGGGGGAAGTGCTGTGCCAATGTGAATGCTGGCTGTGGGGAAGTAACAGCGTGGTTTCCGGCTACAGATTTTGATCCAGGGTGAGGAAAATATCTAAGTATGTTTTACACAGAATTTTAGAGTCCACCTGCTAGGCTACAGTGACATTGTAAAGCATCACCATACTTACTCAACACTATTCCATTCAATCAGCATTGTTAGGGAGACTTTAAGGTACCATTCACATGCTAAATGAGATAATTTAAGATATAAGATAATTTACTTTCATGGAGCTTTTGCCACTTAGTAAAGAAAGACAAGTCAACAAAGGTAAGTTACATCTTATACAGAGGGTCCTGGAGTTAGTTGTAGTTTGACCTAACAAATTTCAACTTTATGATGGTGCAAAAGTGACACATGTTCACTAGCAACTGTACCTCAAATTTTGGATTTCGATCTTTTCCCAAACTAGCAATATGGGGTACACATTCTTGTGATGCTGGCCAGTGAGCTCCCATTCAGCCACGCCATCACGAGGGTGAACAAGTGATACACTTACAACCATTATGCACCCATATAACCACTCTGTTTTTCCCTTCGAGAACAGTATTCAGTAATTTACATGAGATAGACAACACTTACAAAATATTATAAAATAGGCTTTCTTTTTGGTGATTTTTCCCAAAAGTAGGCTAATTTAAGTGTTGTGAGCATGTTTAAGAAATGCATTTCTGACTACAGTATTTTCAGCTTACAAGGGGATTATCAGGATATAACCCCAGTGTAAGTTGAGGAAGACAGATATAAATATAGATATAGATATAGATCTATATAAATACAGATTATATATATATATATATATCTATATATTATCTATATTTATATAGATCTATATCATTTAAGTGTAGAAGAAATATGCAGAGGGGAATAGTTGAAGAGGTGATGTTTGGCTCTTGGATGGCAGAATGAGACCCTGCCATGGGACCTTACCCTATTTCTCACATACCCTATCCCTCCAGACATCTGCTAGCTAATGAGTAAGCAAAGGCCTTAATGTGTGGGAGAACTACCGGAACATATAAGGCCATCCATTCAGACCATTGGACACTTTACTCAGACCAATTGACTATATTATACAGGTAAATCGTATGTGTCTGGAGGGGAAAGTGGAGAAGGCATGATGGCTAACAAAAATAAGGTCACTTGGAAAATCCTAGCTATAAATCACAGCTATAAAACAAAGATAAGTTTTTTTAAGCACACAGTAAAACCACAAACTAAGTGCTTCATTGAGTTATGAGCCATAAACTCAGCCATAAGAACTAGCTCCTTAGATTATTTCCCAGTATCATTTGCATGGTTACCAAAATTTCATTATGGTCATGAACACTCATAATGGACATAACTACCTGTCACAGAGTTTATACCAGAAAGATAGCTTTATCTAGTGGAAAGAGGCAGTTAATAAATATTTCAATAAAAGAAAGGAGAAGAAAGGAGGAGGAAAGACAGATGGAAAGGTGGAAGGGGGAAGGGAAGGAAGGAGGAAAAAGAAAGCACATATGATGGGCATTAAAACTGAATATTTAAGGATGCCTGGCTGGCTCAGTCAGTGGAGCATGCAACTCTTGATATCAGGGTTGTCAGTTCAAGCTCCATGGTGGGTGTAGAGATTACTTAAAAATAAAATCTTAAAAAAACAAACAAACAAACCTGAATATTTAAATCCCAGCTGTTACTGTCTCTAGTTAGGTAAACATTGACTTCACCTCTCTGAACCTTATTTTCTTCAAATATTTTTTTTAAAGTTTATGTATTTTGAGAGAGAGAGCATGTAAGCAGGGGGAGGGGCAGAGAGAGAGGAAGAGAGAGAATCCTAAGCAGGCTCCACACTGTCAACACAGAGCCTGTCTCAGGGCTTGAACTCACCCTGGTGATCTCAGGTGAGATCATGACCTGAGCCAAAATCAAGAGTCAGATGCTTAAGCAAATGAGCTATCCAAGTGTCCCTGAACCTTATTTTCATCAAACATGGGGTAATAAATTTCAGGGAGATTGTGAGAATTAAAAATCACTTTTATAAAATGCCTAGTTAACAATAAGTGCTTAATAACTTGTTGCTGGTAATTCTTGCATTTAGGTAAATGGTGTGCTGCTACCAGTTATCAGTGGCACCCAACTGCATATTTTACATATTTTCATATATAGTTATATGCAACAAACAATATGCTTATAAAAATGCTGTTTTTAGAGTACAGTCATGGATCTGGAAAAAAGGTCTGCATTAAAAATAAATAATATACCTTAAAAAGTCATGCTTCTCAGGGTGTCTGGGTGGCTCAGTCAGTTAAGCAACTGACTTTGACTCAGGTCATGGTCTTGCGATTCGTGCGTTCGAGCCCCGTGCTCTGTGGGGACAGCTCAGAGCCTCGAGCCTGCTTTGGATTCTGTGTCTCCCGCTTTCTCTTCCCTTTCCTGCTTGCACTCTCTCTTTCTCTCTCTCAAAACTAAATAAACATTAAAAAGGCATGTTTCTCAATGTTTTATTGGACACAAGTATGTCTCAGGAAACCTAAATGAAAACATGAACACTTTTACCTATATCTGAGGGAAGTAAGTAATAAGCATCAGACACTTTAACACCATTTAAACTGTAACATGTACTGAAAGCCATAATGCTGTCAGCCATTTTTCCTTTTAAATTAAGATGCTTCTGCAGTCATAATTGAAAGTGACTTTTTTCTCAAATGGTGTCAGATATGGAGGGATGAAGATTAAGAAGAAATACTCACGGATAGGATCTGGTCTCCTCTCTGGAGCTCCCCACTCAGATCTGCTGGTCCACCAGCCAGAATGAATGATACAAAAATACCTTCTCCATCTTCCCCGCCCACGATGTTGAAGCCCAGGCCAGTGGAGCCTTTGTGCAGGACAACCTTGCGGGGCTCCCTGAAGAAACAAGTGGAAAACAGAGCTCACGGGGTGACCCACTCAAGATTTAGGTTGCTTTTACTTTCATTGAGATATTTGATACCAGCAACTCACTACCTATCTTCTCAATGTAAGATACATTAGTACTCCAAGAAAAATGCTAATTTCATGGCAGATGTCTGAGTTCCTCACCACAAAAATGCAATATCATACAAGGTCATCCCTTAATTCCAAAACATTTTCTTAAACTAGCTTTACTTCTACTTTTCCTTTGCTTAGAACATCTGTTCTTGTATTTTTTAAAATTGAGACATAATTGACATATAACATTATATTAGTTTCAGGTGTACAATGTAATGATTCAATATTTGTATATCATGAAATGATCATGAGAAGGAGTCTGAGTAACATCTATCACCACACATAGTTACAATTTTTTCTTCTTGAGATAAGAACTTTTAAGATCTACTCTCAGCAACTTTCAAACATACAATACAGTATTAAGCACCATGTTGTATATGACATCCCCAGGACTTACTTATTTTAAAAGTAGAAGGTTGTATCTTTTGACCACCTTCACCCATTTCACTCCCCCCACTCATTTGTTCTTCTATTGAGCACCATAGTAGCACTCAGTAGGATGAATTCATCCCAAGGGGAGAGAATCTGGGGGACAAGAGACTAGTCTGAATAGGTCCTATCATGAAATATCTTACATGTTTGTTCGACTATTAATTAAAATTTACTCTGTAGGCAGTGGAGACTCATTGGAAGATTCTGAGGCACCAAGAATATTTAAATCCATTTTAGGAGCATTAACAAATGGTCTTATGTAGGATTGCTGGAGAGGAGAGTGTTGATATGATGGGAGGTAGAAAAATTAGTTAGGATGTTGAGTAAGTAATCCAAATGTGAGAAAGTGAGAGCATGAACAAGGGTGACAGTAGTGATAATGAAATGAAAGGGCAATGTGAGAGAGTAAATCTGAAAGGAGAAACAGTGGGTCCAGAGATTGACTCACACAGTAGAGGAGAGATGGAATGATAGCTAAGTGATTGGCAAAAGGAGGGAGAACTGGAATCCAGGATCATGAGGATGGGTATGATTTGACATGCTCAATTCCAGGTGATGGTGGGTCATCCACGCGGTGTTCAGAAATGATTAGAGACAAAGGTTAGGAATTTGGATCCATAGAGAAGACTGCAAATGCAGATTTGAGGGTCATCAGCAAAAAGATGAGAGACAAAAATCTTGAGCCATTAGTTAGTTGAGTTTGTGTAGAGGGTAGATAACTATGGAATATAGAATTTTAAGGGAGCTAGAAGACATCTAGTTCTATATTCTTATTAGTAGTTAAAAAAAAATGTATTCTCTAAGTCTTGGGTTTGACCAAGGCACTTTTGTATCACCTACCATCCTCTCCCAAATATCCCAGTTTCAGTCATTAAAGTTTCCCTTAATGATGTAAAAATGGCAAAGAGCCCGCCTAGTATAAAAAAAGAGTATTTTTTTATACTAATGACTACACAGAATCTGTTATTTGCTATCACATTCCCATGCACAAAGCAATGCATTATATATCTATGTTTGGCCTAATTTTGAGGAAGGGTGTAAAATGCACATACAGCATGGACTCTACGTAATGTATTATAATGCAATGCATTAAGTCAAAAATAGCTCGACATAGAGTTAATTTATTTTACTCTACAAATACTCTGTAAGCACTACTATACCAGGAACTGTTCCAGGTACTCAGAAAGTTTATACACAAAACAAACATCCCTGCCCCATTTGACTAAATACCTGGGTGCCCTGTGGCCCAGTCAAGATGACATATAAAAAGAGCCATCAAAGAGACCGAGCTCCCTGTTTCCTTGCTGGACACCAGATGGGAGTCTCTCTCAGGCCCCAGAGGCTACTCACATTCCTTGTTAGCTGGCAATGGCACACTGGATCCTTTTCTCATTTGGAATTTCTTTGACTTGCTCTTCCACAACTAGCTAGATTTAACTTTCTGCTTTTCAATGGTATGTGTGATATGGTTAGGCCCACCCAGATAATCTCCTTACTTTAGGATCAAGTGATTAGTAACCTTAACTACACTTGCAAATTCTTTTTCCCATATAAGGTAACTTAACTGTGGGAGTAACATCATGGGGCAGAAATCACGGGGCCATCTTAGAATTTTACCTACCACAGGCAGAGAGACAACAGGGGATAAATCCTATAGGGCCTTGTATACCATTCTAAAACTTTGAGTTTTACTCTGACAGAAATAGGAAACCACTGAGAAGATTACTTGATCAGATTTATATTTTTAAATGGTTACTTTGGCATAAAATATATGCAAGGGGCAACATTTGAAAAAGTGAGATGAGTTATGTGGCTAATTGCTACATGCAGGGAAAAGAGTGACTTGGCTGAGGGTAGTATTAGAGGAAGTGGTAGGCAGTGGGTATATTTCCAGTCAATTTTCTCTCTGTGGCCAGACTGAGTAATTTCTACCCTCCTATCTTCAGATTCAGCTGTTCTTTCTTCTGTCATATTTATTCTGCTCTTGACCCCATTCAATGAGTTTTTTTCTATTTTGGTTTTTATATTTTTCAGCTTTAAGATCCATTTGTTATATATATAACAAATGGATCTTAAAGCTGAAAAATCTATGTATCTATCTATCTATCTATCTTCTTTTCTTTTGTGGAGACTTTCATTTTTTTCTCCATTTATTTCAAGTCTGTGTGGAATTGCCTACTGAAGCATGATGGGTATTTTAAAATCCTTGTCAAATAATTCTAACTCCTATGTTATCTCAGTGTTGGCATCAGCTGGAGATTTTCCTGGTTCTTGGAATAAGAAATGATTTTATTTTATTATATACTGGACACTTGGGTATTACAGTATAAAATACTATATTCTACTTAATCTTAGTTTTTTTCAGCTTGTAGATCAATTTAGGAATAACTTGCAGACGCCAGTGAAATGGATATTCAGCTTCTTACTTGTCCCTGGTGACACCAAGGAGGAAAGTGGGGGTACCAACTGGTATTCCACTCATTCTACCTCATTTCCACTTAGTGGGGTAGAAACTCAGTTCCCCACGGGCCCACTGACACCAATGGGGGAGTGAAAATAGGGTGCTGACTAGCACTGCCTTGAGCCATTTTGTTCTGCCTCCTTGCCTCTGAGTGTGGCTAGAAGTTCAGCTCACGACCCTACTGGGAAAAGTGGTTTGCCAACTAGCACTGCTTCCCTCTTCCCCCTTCTACCTCAATGCCACTGACCAGCAGTAGTTCAGCTCCCTGGTGGTCCCCACCAATACCAGGAGTAGGGACATGGAATGCTAACGAGCGCTATCTCATTCCAGGCTTGTTGCAGCTGGATGAAGGTGCAAGTTCAGCCCCCAAGTGGGGAGTGGAGGTCAACTAGCATGTCACCTTGTTCTGCCTGTTTGCTGCTGGATAGGGGTGGAAGTTCAGCTTTTATTTGGCCCACGACATCACCCCAGTGGAGGAAGTCCAGGGTCATCTTAGAACTGCCTCTCCTGGCTTCCCCTAATGGGGCCAGATGTCTAGCTATCTGCACAGTCCACTGGCACTGCAGTGAGGGTTTTGCCTTTGGTGTTTGGATAGAGTTAGGGAAGTATTATCAAAAGGCTCCCTGTTCTATTAATCTATCCGTTTTCCAATCTTTTGGATACAGGTTGCAGGCTTTCTTGAGGCTTTTTTGGTCTGTCCTTATTGGTAGGGGTGCCAGGGTGAAGGCGTCTCCAGGGCTCCATTCAGGACATGTAGGAAGTAAAAAGAAAATTTAAGAAACTCACCACAGTATCACTCCTCTCTGAGCTGGTCTTACTGATTTCCAATTTGTAGAGTCTTCCCACGTTTGTTTGTTTTATTATGTCTTAAGCTGTGTGTGCGTATGTGTGTGTGTATATGTGCATGTGTGTGCATGCATTTTAATAAGAGGGATGATTAGAGAGAAAGGGGATACTGTATTTTGACTGCAACCAGAAGTCCAGATTCTGGATACATTTTGAAGGTAGGGGCCAACAGGATCTTGAAGAAAAAGTTGTGGAAATATTCCTCTTCACTCAAGTTTAAAACACACACTCTTAGTACAACCAATGACATTCAAGTTATACATAGTAAACATAGATGAAGAGAAAGGGTTATCTATGTGCTAGATATTATCTTTGATGCTTTATGTGCATCATTCCATTTATTCCTCAAGACAATCTAATGAGAGATGCACAGAGATGTCAACATGCAACTACTTTTAAACTGATCCAAAAAGAAAGATGGACAGATGATTGGATAGATAGATGGATAGATATTTTATAGAATAAGTGAAGTAAAATGTTAAAAGTGCAATCTAGATGGCAAGTGTATAAGTATTCATTTTATTATTTATTTATTTATTTATTTATTTATTTATTTATTTATTTTTAAAAATATTTTTTAATGATTATTTATTTTTGAGACAGAGAGAAACAGAGCATGAGGAAGGGAGGGGCAGAGAGAGAGGGAGACACAGAATCCGAAGCAGGCTCCAGGCTCTGAGCTGTCAGCATAGAACCCAACATGGGGCTCGAACTCATCAACCACGAGATCATGACCTGAGCCAAAGTTGGAAGCTCAAGTGACTGAGCCACCCAAGCACCCTTATTATTTATGTTTAAATGTTTATTTATTTAGGGGAGAGAGAGAGAGAGAGAGATCGATCAGGTAGGGAAGGGGCAGAGAGAGAGGGAAAGAAAACTTTTTACATTATTGAAATGAGACTGCTTTCCAAGTTTTTACTGATTTTAGTAAATTAACAAAGGCAGGATTAAGACACAGATTTTTCTCACTCAAAATCCCAGAGTCTAGAGTATGATATATTCCAAAGGTTGCAAATCAGAAAGATAATGGCTTAATGTGACCCAGTGTTTACAAATTTTTGAATTGTTGCTTATGTTTAAAATTGGGAAAATTTGCATTAAATATAGATTTATTACTTTATAGGAAAAAAAACAGACA